AGACACGGTGCCAGGTACCAGGAAAAGTGGGTCTGTCCTGGGAGCCCAGCCAGGCGTGGAGGGCGAAGAGGGGCAGGCAGGAAGGGTTGGGTCAGCCACTCATCCCCCCGGGAGAGGGGCGTGTGGGAGTGTGTGGGGTTGAGTTTCAACCCTAACGCCTTAAAGATAAGAAAGTAAACTGGAAGACGCCAATGACACCATTTCCCCCCGTTTCAACAGGCATTTCATCTGCTTGATGTGTGAATGTTTGTACGACTATTGGACGTTTTGCTCGCTTGAATATGAGCCGTTTGACTGGGTGTCCCATCATCAGCCTTGGGAAATATGGTCACCCTGTGAAGGGTCCAACCGTGGCTGGATGTGGGAGAGGAACTTTACATCCTAATTTCATTCATAAACAGGCAGCAGGATGTTCCCGCGGTGTGACAGAGGACGTATCGCACAGGAGCTGTCATGCAAGCTCTGGAGTGAGATTATGTCAGTTTTATGGAGAAAGCAGAGAGCGGGCAGCGTCGGTATTTTAGTTTCATGCCCGAATCTGGGGCCTCCTGTTGGTGGCAGGAACGGAGCCATCTCGGGTAAAGCGGTTGGGTTGGGATTGTGCTTTGTTCCATCCTCCAGTCTGCATTTTATCCAGCCACGTCCTGAGCCTGATGTTCAGATGGGGCAAGTGGATACGATTCGATAGATTGTCGAGGAGCCAGTAGATTGCCAAGGAGCTGAGTGAATGCAAGTGGGGGGGTGTCGTGTGCCACTGGGACTCTCACTCTGAGATAGCACGGAGGGGACTCAGTATCCTGCACTAATCCCTGCCGCTGTCTGTGTCCTTCCCTCCGCAGCCGTCACACTGTGAACTGAGGAAGAAAATGTCCAACCGAAGCACCGTGACCGAGTTCCTGCTCCTGGGGTTCTCAGACATCTGGGAGCTGCAGATTTTGCACTTTGTGGTGTTCCTGGTAATTTACCTGGCAGCCCTAATGGGGAACCTTCTCATCATCTCAGCCATTGTCCTCAACCATCATCTTCACACCCCCATGTACTTCTTCCTTATGAACCTGTCCGTCCTGGACCTCAGCTCCATCTCCGTCACTGTCCCCAAATCCATGGCCAACTCTCTCCTGAACACAAGGATGATTTCCTATGCTGGATGTGTTGCCCAAGTCTTTCTCTTTTTAGTCTTTACTTCAACTGATTTTGCCTTGCTCACCGTCATGGCCTATGACCGACATGTCGCCATCTGCTACCCGCTGCACTACGAGAGAGTGATGAACAGAAGAGCTTGTGTCCACATGGCCGCTGGTGCCTCGATTGCTGGTATCGCCTACTCTGCCCTGCACACTGGGAGCACCTTCACGTTACCCTTCTGCCAGTCCAACGTCGTCAACCAGTTCTTCTGTGAAATCCCCCAGCTCCTCAAACTGGCCTGCTCCGACTCCTACCGCAGTGAAATTGGGGTAATTTCCTGTGGTGTGTTTTTAGCTGTGGATTGCTTTGTTTTTATGTTTGTGTCGTATGTTCAGATCTTCAGAGCGGTGCTGAGAATCCCCTCGGAGCAGGGCCGGCACAAAGCCTTCTCCACCTGCCTCCCCCACCTCGCTGTGGTCTCCTTGTTATTTTTCACAGCTGTGTTTGCCTACCTGAAACCCCCCTCTAGTTCAGCACCTAATCTCAACCTCTTGGTTGGTGTTCTCTACGCCGTGGTGCCCGCCATGCTGAATCCGGTCATCTACAGCCTGAGGAACAAGGAGCTCAAAGCTGCCCTGAAGAAACTGATGGGGTGGAGGTTAATCTCCAAGAAGTGAAATGCCCTTCAGTGCTTGTGATCTCAGCCTCAGCTTCTTTATGCAGTGTGGACTAGCGCTGCTGGACTTAAATGGGTTAATTTAGCATTAGACCAGTGTAAATGTGAGCAGAATGTGCTCCTCACACACCTCAGTCTGGATACACACCTGTCCCTCTCTCACAGGGATTTAATAGCACAGTGGCACAACATGAGTCATCAGGGCGCCCTTGTAGTCAAGAAGCCCAATGGCATGTTAGGGTGCATTAGGAGGAGCATGGCCAGCAGATCTAGAGATGTCATCATTCCCCTTTATTCAGCTTTGGTGAGGCCACCTCTGGAGTATTGCGTCCAGTTCTGGGGCCCGTACTATGGAAAGGATGTGGACACATTGGAGAGGCTCCAATGCTGGGTAATGAAAATCATTGAGGAGCTGGAGCACGTGACTTACAAGGAGAGTCAGAAAGGGATTTGGGTTTGTTGAATCTGCAGAAGAGAAGAGCGAGGGGGGATTTGAGAGCAGCATTTAGCAACCTGAAGGGAGGTTCCAAAGAGGATGGAGAGAGGCTGTTCTCAGTGGTGGTAGATGAGAGAATGAGGAGCAATGGGCTCAAGTTTCAGTGGGGGAGGTCTAGGTTGGATATTAGGAAAATCTATTTCCCTAGGCGGGTGGGGAAGCACTGGGATGGGTTCCCTAGGGAGGGGGTGGAATCTCCATCCCTAGAGGTGTTTCAGTCACAGTTTGACCAAGCCCTGGCTGGGATGATTGAGTTGGGTTGGTCCTGCTTTGGGCAGGGGGCTGGACTCGGTGACTCCTGAGGTCTCTGCCAGTCCTCGGTTTTATGATTCACTGTCCTGCCATGAACTGGGGCCTGGGATCACAGACTTATATTCGTGAATTGCTTGTTTGCTGGCCCACCCTGAACGAGGGCCTGATCCTGTAGCCCCTGTTAACTAGTTATGCCTGGATCCCGGACCAGGACCCAGTGACTGTTGATCCAGCCTGATCATCGGACAGAGCCCAGGACTTGTTAACTGAGACTGGGCGAAGCCCTTCCTAGAACTTTACTTAGCAACATCTATAAATTGATTAGGGCTTATATAATTATCTATACTTTTGATTAAAAGAATGAAGGAAGGAAGGAATGAACCAATGAACACTGTTCTTATGTGAAGGAAGGAAGGAATGAACCAATGAACACTCTTCTTCTTATGGTATTTTAGAAGACAAAGCTCTTGCAATGCTTCCTAAGGACATCCAGCCCTTCGTCCAGGTCTCTGTATCATGAAGAGATGGTGAAATAGTGTACCAGCCCCCGTGAAAGCCAGCCTCACAAACTTCACTGGTCTGTATCCAAAAATATACCCCCTGCCTTGATAGATGGACCCTGTTTCTGGTGTGGAAAAAGTGAATACAGAAAAGCTATTTACTGATTCCCACAGTATAAGAACTCAGGATCAACCAATGAAATGAATAGGCAGCAGGTTTAGAACAAACCAAAGGAAGCTTTACTTCACTCAGCATGCAGTCAAACTGTGGAACTCCTTGCCAGAGGAATTGATGAAGGTTAGGACTTCAACAGGGTTCAAAATGCAACTAAATACTTAGATTTCCAGAAAACCTTTGCAAAGTCCCTCACCAAAGGCTCTTGGGTAAATTAGGTTGCCATGGGATAAGAGGTAAGGTCCTTTCATGGATTGAGAACTGGTTAAAAGACAGGAAACAAAGGGTAGGAATAAATGGTAAATTTTCAGAATGGAGAGAGGTAACTAGTGGTGTTCCCCAAGGATCTGTCCTAGGGTCAACCCTATTCAACTTATTCATAAATGATCTAGAGAAAGTGGTGAACAGTGAAGTGGCAAAGTTTGTGGACAATACTTAACTGTTCAAGACAGTCAAGACGAAAGTACAATGTGAAGAACTTCAAAAAGATCTCACCAAACTGAGTGATTGGGCAACACAATGGCAAATGAAATTTAATGTGGATAAATGTAAAGTAATGCACATTGGAAAAAATAACCCCAACTATATGTACAGTATGATGGGGGCTAATCAGGAAAGAGATCTTGGAGTTATTGTGGATAGTTCTCTGAAGACAGCCACGTAGTGTGCAGCGACAGTCAAAAAAGCAAATAGGATGCTAGGAATTATTTTAAAAGGGTTAGAAAATAAATTGAAGAATATCTTACTGCCCCTGTATAAAACTATAGTACACCCACATCTTGAATACTGAATACAGATGTGGTCTCCTCACCTCAAAAAATATATTTTGGCATTAGAAAAGTTTCAGAAAAGAGCAACTAAAATGATTAGGGGTTTGGAACGGGTCCCATATGAAGAGAGGCTAAAGAGACTGGGACTTTTCAGTTTAGAAAAGAGGAGACTGAGGGGGGCTATGATAGAGGTCTATAAAATCATGAGTGGTGATCACTTGTTTTCATAATATAAGAACTAGAGGACACAGAGGGTATGTCCTGACTACATCCCTTTGTCACTAGAGGGATATAAAGTAGACATACTGACAGTGCAAATGAAGCGGGGATTTAAATCTCCCGCACTTCATTTGAATAAAAATGGCCGCTGCGTTTTGCCGAATCAGCAGTTTGTCCACAAAAAGCGGCTGTCAAGACAGGGATTGGGTGACAAAGAAAATCTTTGTCGGCCAATCCTGTAAACCTGGATGGATCGTTCGTCTGGTTCAGTCTGGCTGCTCTTATGTTCTTGGGGCCGCATCCCATGGCTGAGGAGAGGAGGCGCTTCTGTCAGTCTCTGCCTGGGACCCTACACCTGACTGGGAGGAGGGATGACAGCCCCACCTGTCCCAGTGTGACCAAGCCCTGGCTGGGATGATTGAGTTGGGGTTGGTCCTGCTTTGGGCCGGGGGCTGGACTCGATGACTCCTGAGGTCTCTGCCTGCCCTAGGATTCCAGGAACGCAGGAGACCCAACGTCTCTGCTCCCCCAGAGCGGAGTCTGTGGGGTTCAGGGAGGCCCAGGCTGCTCCAGGCCAGCCAGGACTGTCGGGCCACCAGGCTCTGAGCTGCAGCAGATCACATCTCTGCTCCCCACACAGAGTTCATTCTGCAATCTCCTTCATCCCCTTTGGGCTTCAGCCCGGCTCTGTCTGCAGCCAGGGTCCTCCCAGGGCCGCTGCGGCGGCGGAAGCATCCTGTCAGGGCGGTTTGCTGCTGGGTGAGATCTCCCCGCCCTGGAGACCGGAGTTGGCTATTTACCCCAGAACAAGCTGGGGCCATGTTGGCAGCTTGTAGCATCCAGGAGCAGGTCAGAGCAGGGAGGGGATTTCTCCTCTTTACTCCATCGCTGCCGGGCCCAGCCTGACTGAGGAGGAGCTGGGAGAAGCCGTCTGTGGGGCAGGTCGCTGGCTGCCGGGAACTGCAGAGACCCAGCCGCTCACAAGACATGCTGGAGGGGCAAAGTGACCACAATGGGGCATCGCTGGCCGGTCCATGGCTAGGCAGTGACTGAGAATCCTGGCGGTGAAATAGATCCCAGGCTACAGCACGGTGAGTGTGTTACTCCAATTCAATGTACTTAGGGTAGCTAGCTGGGGGCCATTTCATACTAGACTCTAGATTTCATACTAGACTCGAGTTACAAAGGGAACACTGCAGGACTGGTCACAGCACTCACTCCAGCTTTGAGAGCTTCACGGGGCTGGTATTCTTCTTCCCCCAGCTGAGAACAAGGGACCCTGTTACAGCAATTGTGTGAAACCCAAACTTTTTGATTTGGGAACATCTTCATGTCACCCTTCCGCCAGTCCAAATATGCCAGCCAGTTTTAGTTTAGTGAGAACTGGCTCACGGCAGATATTGTAGAATCCTGACAAATTTTCATTGAACTGAGGGCCAAAATTTTTTTTACGTTTTAAATTTTCCAAGACGTGTCTTGTGTTTCAAAACATCGAGTAGTTCTGTGGCAACTTAGTTAGAACTAGGGTGGTAGTGTAGACATAACCTTAGAGACTAAGATAGATAGATAGATAGAGGGGGTGTGGGGATGGATGGAGGGGGTGTATGGATGGATGGATGGATGGAGGGGGGGGGTGTATGGATGGATGGATGGATGGAGGGGGGTTGGGTTCTGGGGGTGCCTGGC